GAAGAGGGGGAACAAGCAAATTGTAAGGCAAGATTTCTGGAGGGGTGGCCTGTGGGTAAAACTGTAATATTTCCAGAATATCTCACCTGGCTTTAGTACATCTGCATATCAATAGGCGGTCAGAGGTGGGCCGAAGTATGGCTTCAGTGCATTTGCATCATTCCTCAGGGGTGGAGAGAAGTTCATTGCCATATAAATGGGTAATTACCTGGGCAACAGAAGGCTTATCTGTACCTGAGAGGTGAAGGGAAAGGCCAGTTTTGTTTCTGCTGGAGCAGGAAAGAGAGAAGGCACGGGACTGCAGTTTGTGAGCAATAAATGGATTTTAAACTTTATTTCTCCCTTTGACTGATTTCAGTTTTTAGAGGTATTTTGCCCTGGATTTCCTTTCCCTGGACTTATAGAGGGTCATGAGGGTTCTGTGCTGGGGGACCACAGGGTAGGGTAGGCAGCTGGGTAGAGCCCCAGGGAGATGATTAGAGGTGGGGCAGGCATGGTGTCAAGGGAACTGGTAGGAAGCCAAGCCAAGAAAAGGGACAAAGGTTCTTTAAGGCTTTAAGAACACAGAGGAATACCAGGGTGCTTGAATTTAAAGCAATGTAACAATGTACCCTCCACTGGGACCCAGCGATATGGAACAGCTTGTTGATCATAGTCATGTAGGCCCATTAGTTTACAATAGAGTATCCAGGTACCCTTTATTGAGATAGGTTAAAACATAACTAGCATTCTGGCTGAACCTATAGTACACTAGCAGCTCCCACTGCAACATTCCTGGGGCTGACTCTCCTTTACCCTTGTAGTGAATGTATAAAAGGCATGACCCCGCTGTGCTTAGGATTCAGCCTTTGGATATGAATCCACTGAACCAGTGCTGGCACTAATAAACTGCTTCTCACCAAATGTCTTGGTGTCCTGACTCCTTGTTCATAGTTTTCGCAGTTCCTGCAACAGGACCTGTCATGCAGGAATCAGCAACAAAGGAGATCCCTGAGCATAAAAGAAGAAAAGGAAAATCCCTAGTGAGACAGGGACTGTAGATGTAATCAGAGTAGGGTGAGGGCCTCTGGAAGAAGCAAGGCAGGATATTTAGTCAGAGCAGTGTTACTACATGCAAGGAAACCCCCTACCAAAACTCTGTGCTAAGCATTAAGCTTTAGAGTCATTCTTCAGTGAGATCAGTTAATATTCCCTAGATAAAGAAGAGTAGCACATGTTTTTATTATGCTGATTATTTGTAATCATGTGTAAGATTCACCTTAGCATGCTAAAGACCCAGGCCTACGTGCTGTCTTTGCTCCTTCAGAGCTGATGAAGTGATTTACAAACTGGGCAACTAATTTAGCACACAGGCCCAGCCATAAACAATATGATAAAAGGCAGGAAGGATTCTACCTTAAAGATAAGATTGTATTTTAATACCCAAGAAGTTAAGAAGTAAGATTTTTACTCTTTAGCAAACAATACCTCAGCCTACCTTGGGGGCTGGGCAGGCAGCCTTGTTTGATATGTCCCCAGACCAAGACTCTGGTACCTCAGGGAGAAATCAGAGCAGGCAGTTGCTTGTGTTTAATTCTAAATATTCAGGGACCACTTAGTAAGTCCACACCCCTAAGCTTTTTTCACATTCCCCAAAATCCTCAACTGCCTATAAAACCCCTAGACAATGCACCACTAAGGGCTCTCTTGTCCCCTCCTGGCATGAGCCAGGAGCTCTGTTCTCTCACTGTATCTCTCAATAAAAGCCTCTCCCTGGCTCTCCTACCTTGGGTGTTTGCAAAATTCATTCTTCAACTCCGCAAACAAGAACCCCGGCATCACTAGGTGTTTAGCCAGAGTGATGGGTAACCAGACAGTCTGTCTGATACTGGCTTCAGAGACAATTCAGGGATGTCGGTAGAGGCAGGTAGGGGAGGTCAGACCAGAAAGCAGAAACCTAGAAGGGGCCTCCTGTAGGAAGGGGCAAGGCCAGGCAGGGTGTGAGTCTCCCACAGTTCACAAACGGGTTGATAAATGTTTGCACAGAGAGGCAATGAGGAGTTAGGGAGGGAAAAGATGGCTACCTTTTTGCCATTCAATGAACCAAATCTGATTGGTCTTATCCTATAATTCTATTTAAATCCTCTTGAACCAACTGAAATGTTTCAATTCTACCTCCTAAATTAATTTCTATTCAGATAACACTTGTATCAACCAAAACAAGCAAAAAACAACAAAAAACTCACCCAGTGTTGTATACAACATATTCTTATCCATTCCACACATTTTATTGAATAAATAAAAACTTTATTTGTATATTTACCTATAAACAAAGTCCTTAGTTTAGTCACTTAAGAAAATACAACATCATGTAACCAAAATGCTTAAAGGATTTGGTTAACTGAGTGCGGACTATTTTTACCAATAACATGAAAATCTGACCTGTCATAAGTGGTTTTGCAGTAGCCATATTTGAGATATTTCTGGATTTCCATGAAGTTTGACTCTCCAAATTATGAGCTCTGCCTAATACAACACACAGATAAGATATGAAGGGGAAAATGACTGGCAACCCCACATTAGGACTTCATAAGAAATTCTACTGGTGTTAACCCACTTTCAAAATACTACTGAGTATTTTTCTTCTTCAAAATCAAGTATGATAAGTAAATAACAACTGTACCTCAAGGACTTTTATAAATAGCAAGGCTTTACTTCCATATCTTTAAGCAAATGACATTTGCATTTCCCTGAGAGCACGTCTGTGTTTCTGAAGCCACTGATTGCAGAATATGATGAAAGCTAGGAAGAGAACATTTATCTGTTGATGTTTGGGTGAGGTTAGCTCCCTGCCCATTTCATATTAGCTTTGGCTACTGTGGTCCCTTAACCTCCCCAACAGGTTCACCCCACCAGAGCCTTGGGGCCTCACTCTCTCTAGGTCCAGGAAGATGGGAGACCCAGCAAAGCAGCTGGGAGGGCCCACAAGGGTCTGACTGCTAGTTCTGCTCTAACTTGTGCCTCATGCCTAAGAAGTAGGGTTCCTCCTGGAACCCACTTACTTGGAATCCTTATTCCTTATTCTCCCCTTACCCTTCTTGAGGATGGAGTCATGCTCACAATTCCAGGGCCCCTGACATTTTCTAGACCTGTCCTTAAACGTGTCCTCCTCTCCCTCTGGGGCAGGGGTGCTCTGAGCACCCACAAGGCCTGCCTCAAGATCCAGTCTGCTGTGCCAGGACATCCCACATGCCCAGCCTCTGTCCTAGAGCCCTTTGTCTTTGGTTAACTGGACACCAATCAGTCTCATCCCCCTACTGATGCTATGGGTTATGACAATTAATTTCCTGCAAACTAGAGTTTTGATTCTTTATCTGTGAATGGAAATAAATTTTTAAGAGCTTCTAACTCTGGCTAGTCCTAGAAGCTTAAATCCTATTACATACTTATAAAGTTTTCCCCAGACTACATGAACATTTTTTCCCTAAAAGCTACAGACTGGCAGCTTCAAGTACAGAGCTCTAGATATTCTTAATTGAAGTATCTGTCTGCTAATGAATGCCATTATTGAGAATCCCTATTTCTTTAGGGCCAGGAACCCAAGATTTTACCACAATTCTCCTGCATATCCAGTGGTACAAAAATCACCTTGAATCTTTCCCATTTAGGTATTCTTAACTAGCCTGAAACTTAGATCCTGTGTGCAGAACCAGGTTTATATCACAGGGATCCTAAATGCTCACTTTCCCAGTGCTGGGTGGCCCTGCTGATGGGCCTGCAATCTGCTAACTGCTCTCATCCAAGGACCACCAGCAAGGGAACTCTTCCTGAGCGGAGCCTCTCTGTGTGTGCCAATGGTGGTGTTACTGACTTTCCTCTTTGGAGATGCTTCCCTGAGATCATCTTTGGAATTGACTGATTTCTCCTCTGTTTATAAATGGTTTCTGAAGGTGATCTCAAAAAGAGACAAACAGGTAGGTAATAGCCATGTCACTGACCTAAGAGCACAGTTTCCCAAGGTTATCACTTGGAAGGGCAATAAAGACATGGATTCCAGCTCATAACTTCATATGCATCTCATTTTTCTCCAACTTGATGACAGGAAAAATTATAATATTGACAAGTGGCCTATTTACCTATTTACTGAGTGTTTCTAGGGTGTGGATTTGTCTTACTCATAGGTGCCCCCAAGGCTTGACAGACACAAAGAACCCCTTGAATGTTTTCTGAATTGAACTACATTAAATTGTTTCAATTGAGGGCTTCATTAAGGTTTTTAGTGCTCAGAGTAAGTGATGCATGTGTTCTAAATTTCCACAAGCATGTTTGTATTTTCCCATCTTACCTTTCCTAGCAGGGAGCTGAACTGTCACACCTGCCCCTAAGACACAGAGCTTTGCACAGGCCAACATGCATTTCTACTTATCTTCAATGATATAAGCATAAGTAGAAATCTCACTTGTAACTTTCCATGTCTTTTTTTTTTCAATCTTCTTTGAACTTAACCATCTTCTAACCAAAACTTTTCTATGAAAATTAAATTCATTATCAACTCTACTACATCTAAGCCCCCAAAATGCTGCAAAGTACAAGCACAGTATGTCACATCTACCAAGAAATAAAACTGTATAAAGAGATTTAAGGTCATATGCTGCAAATCAAACACACAGGTAATGAAGTCACTATGTTGTTCCCATTGGGGTTGCTTTCTGAGTACAGCATATGCAACAGAATCTCTTAATCTCTTTTCCCACCTTGGGGATTAAATGAATTTCCAGTGAGCTCATTTGAAAGCTCTATCTCCTGGAGTGAAGGGCAGACTTTGTTCTTTGAGTCCACATTGAGCCAAGCTGATCCAAAAACCAAATAGAAGGATTTAAATCTAAGGCTCCAGGAAGTGGGGGTCTCAGGAACATGGGACCAAGTCATTGTCTAGAAAGTATAAAGTATTCTGTCAAGAAGAATCAGTCTTTCCCATGGTGGCCAGTAGTACATGGATGTTCATATTTTTAAAATAGTATTCTCAATCACTGGAAAACCTTTTCAATTTTGCAATACAACTCTTGGGCTTCAAGAGGCCTGGCCTGTGCTGTAGGTCTGGCAATGACAGTCCTAGTGCAAAATGAGCCTCTTCTAATCATAAAAAATAGAAGCTTTTGAGGGGGGTGGACATAAGTCTTTTATCTCTTCCACAGCAAACAGGTGCTCCCAGACCCATCTCCCAGAGCCGTCAGATGGAAGAAACTACAAGACACTCTTGACAAGGAGCCCAAGATTACAACACCAAGGGTTCCATGTGATTATTTATAAAGAATAAATATTCTCTGAGGGAGTCCTTTAGCAAGCTTGTCAGAACAAAAAATGAGCCAGTTCCATTTGTTTTCCTGCTCTGAGACAGACACCATGACAGAAAAAAGCCCTGACTTTGAAATGGAAAGACCTGTGTTTAGACTCCTGGCTTAGTCACTTGCAGTCCAAGTGACCTGCAGTAAAATCACTTAGCCTCTCTGAAACTGTTTCCTCACCTGCAAAACAGGAGTGAGAATATCCAGTCACCAGGTCAGTAGGATGATTAAAGTAATTGATACACAATGCCTGGCACAGAACCTGGCATGGGACAGACGTGTCCTGAATGTTAAATATTATTCTTCTTCCCTCCTGAGGTAGGTCACTGCAAACATCCCTGGCTGCTCTCAAGTGTCCCAAAGCTGTGCCTTCCAAGGAGCCCCCACGGGGAGCCACGGGGAGCCCCTGGTGTGCAGCTTGTAACTCCAGCCCAGCCTGCTGTCTGCAGTGGGATGGACGTGGGCGACAGGGGAGCGGGCAGGCGGTCCAGCTCCCCGCGAGCCTCCAGGCAGCTCCCCTGGCGCCCTCGCGCAGTCAGACGGACACTGCTCCGGGCACTATCCTCCGGATGTGGGTGTACGACTTCCTGATGGTGACACTGCCGTGGTGGGACACCCCCCGGGGCAGGACGCACTCCTCAGTCAGCTTCTGGGCCTCCGGATCCCAGCACAGCACGGTGGCGATGACCTCATTCTTCTCGTCCCGCCCGCCGGTGATGTAGAGGCGGTTATTGCAGGGCGCGATGCCGCAGCTGGCCCTCTCGTGGCTAAGCTGGGTCACCAGGCACCAGCTGTCCTCCAGAGGACTGTAGGCGTAGAGCGCTCGCATGGCCCCTCCTGAAGAGGAAGGGACACACGCAGGCATTTCACCGTTTTCCTGGCTTTCTTCCCCTTTAAACCGCTAAAATCCTACCTCTGGTTCAGTCGCATCTACCAGCTTGCCAATGCAAAGAGGAGATTCGTGGTTCTCCCAGCAGGGGGAATGGAAAGACAAGGGGCTTCATATTGCTGCCAAAACATACCCTGAGCCTGATCCCTGGAAGAAACACCACCTGGGGCATAGGGGGACTTGGCTCGTCATCCCAGCTCTGCCACTTGTTGATCCGTAACCATGAGCACCAGGACTGTCGTGGCTACAAGCTATCTGAGGGGTCGTGGGCATAAAGCACCTGGCAGAAGGCCTGGTACACAGAAGTCATTAGTACCTGGTGGTGACCAGAGGCGGTCCCATCTGTCTGTAGACTGAGTGTGACCTGGACACCAGCCCAAGTTACCATCTGGAGATAAGACCTCTGAAGCAAAGTCACAAGGCTGACTATAAATACACACGAGACCTGAAGCACAGGAGAGAAGGGCTTCTTCCTAATCTGTTCCTGTATTTTGCCTCTGGGAAGCCTTCTCTGATTAGCTCTTAGTTGCTCAAGTTACTTGACATTTCCTTAAGCAGTGGTTCTCAATCCTGGCTGCACATTAAAATCCCCTGCACATTAAAAACACCTGGCACTGTTGGCCAGCATCCTTTCCTTCTGATACCACAGGTCTCAGGTGAAGCCCCACTGTTTTTGTAAACACGCTCCCTAGGTGATTCTAATGAGTCATCAGGACTGAGATCCATCCTCCTTAACAATTACATTCCGACTGTGGTCTGGATAACCAGGCTTTCCTTCCACCTAAATGCAACTTTTCAGAGGCCCCAAAGCAAATGGGGAGAGTAAAATTACTGTGAGCAGAAAATAAGAAATAATGATAGCTGCCATTTATTGGGCACTAACCATACTGTCCACATTTCAAATTCTGCTCATTTGCTAATGCCTTAAAACCCAGTTTGTTCCTGCAGCAATTTCTGGCTCCTCCCCTGGGCCCGAGTGTCCATCTGGTTGTCTCCTAAATATGGGCTGTTTCCATCTCCCAGGCTGCAATGTGAAGTCCACCAATGCCTGGACCAATCCCACCTCCTTTTCCTTTCCAACCCCACCCACATCACTCAGGAATTCAGGGCTCCCAGGAGGGCCTTGTCTGATGTACCTGTGTGGCTACATGGGTAGGGGATTCTGATCAGAAAGAAGCCATTTGCTCACTTACCAACAACATAGATGCGATCCCGGAAACTCACTGCATTGATGCATTTAGCCTCCACTGGCATGGCCGACTTTAAATTCCACTTATTGGTTGAGGGGTCATAACACTGAGTCTTGTCTGTGGCCAGTTTCCCATTGGGCCCTCCCCCAATCACATAGAGCTTCTTCTTATGGCTGGTGGCTGCGAAGGAACTGACGTGGAGAAGGAGGGGCGCAGCCTGCAGAGGCACAGGACGCCAGGAGAAGCTGTCAGTCACACCGCCCAGATTGCTGCAGTGGCACACAGGACACAGGCCAGGAGCCGGGGGACATGAACCTGGCAGCCTTTGCCCGCAGTCATAAGGTGGCCTGTGGGCTTGACTCCCCTTGAGACAAAGAGAGGATCAAGGCACACATTTCCCACCCTCCCTCCAGGCTCTGGGTAGGTTAGAACAGACTGAGGGTTGGATGTCTCCAGCCTGTTTCTCTGAGCCCAGCTCTCAGGGGAGGAGGAGTATAGATAGGAGTAAGTGTTTATACGGATGAAACCTGCCCATGTTGGAAGAAAAGACTTTCTGAAACATGCCTATTCTATTTATTTACGTGTTCTTTCATTCAAAAAATATTTACTGCATGCCTACTATGTGCCAACCATTGTCCTTGGTGCTTATGTCTACAAAGAAGAGCTGGTATAAAGATCTCAGGAGGCCACAGGTAAGCAGACTTTCCCACTCTGGGGCAACATGCAGATTTTGGGATTAAGACAGATGTATACATCTGCCCTACGAATGCCAGGACACTAAAAGGGACTTCCAAGAGTCTTACCTACTGACATAACCCACTTGAGTCATGGAGCAACTCCATGATGGGACTTGATGAATGGAGAAGATCTTGGGTACCCCCATAAATGTTAATGGCTCCCTAAATGTGTTTTTCAGGTTGACACTCTTGGCTGAATGCCATGGCGACCTGGCTACCTTGCCTTGTGCCTATGATGACCATGTTTTGTACTCCCCACAGTGTAACATGCTCTGACATATGATTTGATGAGGAGAAAGAAAATTTGAAATTAGAAATAACCTGGAAATACAGGAAGTAAGATCCCATTACTATTATTATTATTATTATTATTATTATTATTATTATTATTATTATTAAGGACACAACATCAGATCTACCTTCTTAACAAATTTTTAAGTGTAAAATACAGCACCGTTATCTATAAGCTTAAGGTTGTATGGCAGATCTCCAGAGTTTATTCATCTTGCAAAACTTTATGCTCATTGATCAGCACTGCTTTACCCTCTTCCTTAGTATGATCTACCCCTTGAATTGCTAAGTCTTGCATGCAGGCATGTAAATGATTCCATTATTAATCAACAAATAAATAAGTGCTGAATTCTAAACACTACCAAATGATTCTGGGTTCAACAGTGTGGTAGAAGGATCCCTGTGTGTGCAGTGCAGAGAAGAGAAGGGCTGATGGCGACTGAGCACACAGGAACCCTGGGCCCAGACATGCAGACCAAGGTTAGGGTCCCCGCCTCCACCTCTGCATCTGGGCTTCTGGATGGGACAGGACAGATGCCCACACAGAGCTTCCCCGCCTGGAAGGAGGTTATTTCTGCAGACTGATTAGCAATGCTGAAGCAATGGCTCCCATTAGGAGAGAAAGTCAGAGCCATCAAAAATGTTCTCAGTGGGAGCAGAGAGAGCAGAAACCACATACCTATATTAGCTTATACCTTTTTTAAAAGCTTTGAAGTAATAATACAGAGTTACTCAGAGAGAAAACCTCCTATACCTCTGACCAGCAGTTGTGGAAGGGGTCGTAGGTCTCTACATTGTTGATCCTCTGCAAGCCATCGAACCCTCCAATCACATAGACCTTGCCACCCAACACCACCATTTTATGTCTCCAGCGGCCTATGTTCAAATACTCAATTTGTATCCATTTGTTGATTGACGAATTATATTTCCAAACATCGTGCTGTGTTTCTTTGCCACCTGGAAGAGATACAAAGCATTAAGAATCCACCAGATGTGTCAGAAACACAGCTTCTCCTGTAACTTCCCCCACGTCTGTAAGTGCTAAATCCCCAGGCGGGCCGCCCCTACAGAAAAGAAATTGTGCAGGTATGTGTGGCCTGGTTGGGGAAACAGAGCCTACACAGGGGCACAAGAGGAGGTAGTTTCAGGCTGGGATGAGCCATTCAGCAGGCTGTGTCATGCATCACAGAAGAGGTGCCTGCATGAGGTGGAGCCAGAGAAGGCTCCAGGAAGTGGTACCCAAGTCCACATGGGCAGGTGGGGGCCAGCAGGAGCCTGGACTCGGAGTCTGTGCATCTGAAGGGCAGGAAGTAAGGCAGGATGGATAAGGTGGGACTGCTGAGGGTGGGATCGTGGGGCCTTGGCCAGTGGGCAAAGTAGAAAGCAGCTTCCGTTCTGTGTTTGATTCTTTATTTAAACAAATACAAACTTGGAAAAATCACATAAAATTATTTCAGTTCATGTTGCTGATTAGTATAAAAATATGAGAGGGAGGGTTGTCCTATTTTAAAATAATTTTTATTATAAGAAAATGAGATGCTCACAATAAGTCATTTAAGAGTGAGCTGGCAAATATTCTTTTCAAGACAACTCTCTTAATAAAGAGAAAATACATAATTCAGTTAGGGAGACATGCTGACACAAAAGAGGACTGACTTTTTCAGTGACTGTAATAAAAAATTTTAATGGCCTAATGTCTCCAGTTCCCCATGAGCACAGAGTACCATCCACTACAAAGAAAAAGATGTTGTTTTCAGCCTTAGAAACGTACATGGGTGAGGCAATGCATATCACTGGTTACACTCGTTGGTATTCTGGGTCAGTGTTTCTCTTGCATGGAATCCAGAAGTGGAATTCCTAGGTCAAGGGCAGGGCAGGCATACCTCGAATTTTGTAAGCGCTGCCAAGGAGCCTTCTGAAGCTGTCCGGTTGCCCTTTCCCCAGGCCCCACCCACAGCAGATATTAGGAAGGCTTTTTTGGTTTGTTTTGTTTTACAGCCTGATAGAGACAGCTAGATTTTTCCTGACCACTTAGGGAGACTGAACTTCTTCCTCTTCTGTGAATTTTTTGTTTATATAGTTTAACCATCATTTGTTGAGCTATGTACCTTTTCGAGGTCTCTATTCAAAACACTGATATTGATCTCATTTAGGTAGTGTCAAAAATTATAAAATACAATACACTTTCAAAGAAATGTATGCAAACTTCATAAAAAGAAAAAAGAACTCAATGATTTTTACTTCAGAATGTAAAAGACCTGATTAGCTGGGCAGGCAGAGCATGTGCACAGATGAGAAGACATGTTATTGAAAAGATGTCAACCCTCCCCAAGTTAATCTATAAATTCAGTTCCTTCAGGGATTTTCAGGGAACTTAAAGAAATCATTCTAGATTTCATTTGGAAGAGTAAATTGGGAAAAATTTATAAGAAACTTTTGAAAAAGAAGAATGAATAAGGGAGCTTTCTGTAGAAAATATCAAAATATGTTAATGAACTATGATAATAAAAATGTGGTACTAGCATAAGATGAGATAAAAACTGATCAATTAAAAACAAGAACACAGAAACAGATATAGAGATCATTAGTGTTAGAAGAATTGGCTATTGAGAGAAAAATTAAGTGAAAAAATTTAGAGAAAAATTAAGATTCCTCTTTCACATTACACGTAAAATTCAAATGTAAAAGCTATCAAAGTAACTGGAGGTTATGTAGAAGAAGATGTTAATAATCTTGGGTAGGGAGGGGCTTTCTAAACATGATGTGAAACCTGGAATCATAATAATATATAAATCAAAGTTAACAGATAACTACAGTCTGAGAAAGTATATGCAATACAAATAGCAAAAGATGTATAATAAGAACTCCAAAAAGATTAATAAGAAAATGACAACCAACTAGAAAAACAAAGAGTAGGAACAGATAACTTTTTAAATAAATACACTTAGCTAATAAATATATGAAAATATGCACAATCTCACTGGTCATTCAAGAGGGCAAATTTAAACATCCTAGTCTATTAAAAATGTTATTGATAATAAAAAGTGTTAGCAAGGATGTAGAAAATGGACACTCACTTATCACTGGTTGAACCATAAACTGGTACATTTTGGAGCACAATTTAGGAATATCTTCTAAATTCTATCTTATGGTCAGTTTCGGGAATCTCTCCAAATAGCAACACGAGTTCATAAATTAATGTGTATGAACATGCCTATTGCAGTATTTTTCAGTGGGAAAATCAAAGCTAAAAAATATTGTGTCTCATTCATTCAGTAGACTTTCCTGCAGTTGGTGAAAAGAATAATGATATTGAGCTCTCACCATGTGCTTTGGTGGCACCATGCTGTACAATTATTATATCACTTAATACATGTGAGAAAGTCATTATATCAACATGTAATGGTGTCCAAAATAGTGTTAATTGACATACAAGTTTCTATGGATTTAATTGTGTATAACAAGCATGCTTTCATGTATTACCTGTATCATTTTTTAAAAGGCAACAGAAATTTAAAAAAGCGGAAGGATGTGTTGTTAAACAACATGTGTAGTGTATGTGGCAAAGATCGACTGTGATTACTAAACCTGTCTTTTCTTCCTGGGCACACAGCTAAGCTATGATCCTCAGCTCACTTGCATGGAGTTGAGCTCACACATGGGGGTGCAGGGAGGGCATGTGGCTAGTTCTTTGCCCATAGAATGTGAGCAGAACTGCGGCCGCATGTCCAGGCTGAGGCTGTTATGACCAGGTGTGTCTTCTCAACTCGTTTTGCTCTTCTCTCTTCCTGAAATGCATCAAACTTGAAGGCTGCATGTGGAAAATGGCAGCATCATAGAATGGAAGGAGGCTAGGTCCTTGCATGACTGAGTAGAGCAGATCTGCTCCTCCCAACTCTATGAGATTATTAGAGTAACTCTATGAGATTTAGGGTTTGTTACAACAGCTAGCAGTACTTACTCTAAAACAATATAAACCTATTTTTGCAAAAAATTAAAACACACAGGATTATAACGGCACAGAGAAACTGTTGTATTTTACTTCACACTCTTGGTATTGTTTGACTCTTCTACAACAATTACAAAGTTTTTTTCTACAAGACAAAAGAAAGCTATAACCTAAGCTATGGTTTTAATACGTCCAAAGAAGAATTGCCATGCCTTGATTCTGGAGGAAGCCAGCTCTGGGAAGAAGTTCAGATCAGAGAAAGTCTCCAAGAAAAAGAAAAGATGCTGTTTCCTCCCTTGGACCCCCAGGAAGAGTTGGGTGGCTTTCAATGTCACGGGGAGAGGATAGGACTCAGAGAACCTGGGTTGGAATCCTGCCTGTCGTTTACCAGCGTGTGACCTTAGGTACATTCCACAACCTTTCTGAGTTTTCTCCGTTTGTAACCTGGTGATTAAAATAATCTACCTCATAGAGTTGATATGAGAGGCAAATGATTAAATGCTACCGAAGTGTAAATTCATCTACAATGCTGTAAAGATGCTACAAAATGACTACATCACTTAATAAATAGTTATTTCTTGAGAATGTAGTATGTGTCCAGGGACAGTGCTAGGTACTGGAAGTACAGTGCTCTCACGGAATGTATGGATTAATGGGAAACGGGCTCTGAGTGATTGTAAGTAATAAAGCAAACAACTCAGAAGTAAGCAATGAAAAGGTGCTGGCTGCTACCAGAGCACCTAAATGTATGACCTCATACATTTGTGAGGAAGGGTCTGGTTTGGGAGAAAGAGTTGTTTCATTGTTATATTCCCGTTGTTATTCTTACTGTTGTTCATTACTGTATTCCCAAGGCCTAGCTCAGTGTCTGATGCATGTAGCAGACATGTAATAAACTCTAGTATCAGTTTCCTTTTGCCTTTTCCATGAAGGACTGGACCTGTCTGCCTGCAACCCCAGATCCTAGGACAATACTGCCCCAGGTTTGAGATCATTAAGTAATAGTGCAGTTTCCAAGATCAAAGCACCTGAGCTCCCAGTTTCTAGAACCTGACCAGCCTCAGCTAGATCACTGCCACTCACAGTACTACTTCTAAGATGATTATCTGGCTCTCACTCTGGAAAATGCAATGTGCCACTGGGTCTTGCTTTGGGATCACGTGGCTCCTGCTTACCTGAGATGTAGACTTCATTTTTTAATGTCACACATGCAAATTCCACCCACTTCTTATTCTCACTCTCCAGCTCATGCTCCGTCATTGGGAGCTTGGCCACCTCCAGGCGGCTGCGCCTCAGGGGATCCAGGCAGGTTACCTCCGCCACAAACCGTTCATCCTTTGTGCAGCCGCCAATGATCATGAACACCTCAGACTGGAACTCATGCATCCTGGGCTTGGTGCGCTCTGAAATGATCTGGAAAACCAATGGGAGTTCACAAAGGCAGAATGACACAGTGGTTCAGAGCTCAGGCTGTGGAACCAAACAGACCAGTCTAGTCCCTAACTCTGTCACTTCATGACCATGTGATTTCACCTCCTTGAGCCTCATTTCATCATCTGTATGATATAGATGTATAACATCTCTGACATCAAATGCAATGGTGTGTTTTTTCCCTACATACATGTGTAACAGTACAATATTACACACAGCAGTGATAGCCGTATAACTCCTTCTGGGTACCTGGACCCAATTCCAATGTGCATAAGTATGTGGGAAGGGGTCTTTCCACACATACTTACACAAAGCAATTCTCAAACACCAGCAGAGTGTTGGAGAACTCAATTCAACTCTGATGCTATCTGCCTGGATACAGCACCAGATTCCCAGGTTAAGGGCTTCATCCTACAGGACTGCCCTCCACTCTCACTCCAGATGCTGGTTGCAGGCCCTGGGTAGTTAGTTCCCTGTGCTTCTGACCTACCTACTACAGATGGAGGTTCCCACAACTTGCCCCTTAGGTTCAATTAATTTGCTAGAGTGGCTCACAGAACTCAGGAAAATACTTAGGTTTACCAGTTTCATAAAGGATGCCAGTTAACAGCCAGGTGAAGAGTCACACAGGGCAAGGTCCCGAATAAAGGAGTGTCTGTCCTAGTGTAGCTGGGGGCCTGGCTCGGGGGCACATGCAGGCATTCTGGTTCCCCAAGCACAGAAGCTCTCTCCTACCAAGAAGCAGGATCCAACTGAGCAGAGCAGGCAGAGCAGAGAGGGGGCAGAGCTCTTCTCATGGGTTTCGTGAGGGCTTCACTGCATAGTCATAACTGACTAAATAATTGGCCATTGGCTGATCCCACCTCCAGCCCTGACCCTTGGGTGAGAAGGGGTCGAAAAGTCTCTCATTAACATGACAAAATACCCATTTCACCTTTAAGACTCTGCAGTGTTTTCAGGAACTGTGGATGAAGACCAAATATACCTGGGAAATACATATTTGGTCATAAGGATGACCAAATATGCATTTCTTATAACTCATTATATCATAGGACGTTAGCAGTAACTACCTCATAGATTTGTTGTGAGGATTAAATGAGATCATATACATAGTGTGTTTGACCCAGGACCTGGTATAAATATTTAAATAACCAATACAGGTTATCTGTCATTTTTGCTGCTATCTTAAGTCCAGATGTGTTTACCATCAAATATACTCCCTGCCTCTTGCCTCCTGCCCAGTATGAAGCCTTGAATCCTGCAATTTCATTTCTGAACATTGATTTCAATATCTTGATGATATCCCAGGCTTTGCTCTCTACCAGACTTCTTCTGGAAAAGAAATCCTGATGGCGGACACACAGGAGCATTTAGAAACTCAGGAGAAAAGACCGAAAAAGGAGCAGCATGTGGCCAGGGAGGTTAGGGGCCTGGGTCCCAGCGTCAAGGATATGGCCCTTCAAAGTCTGGGGTGTGGAAATCCACACTACAGATATTTGAACTGAGTTGCAAGAACAAAGGTTTAGAAGTCAAATACACTGGAGTTTGGTCCTGGTTTCACCACCTATGGCCACATGACCTTGGAGAAGAAACACAAGCTCTATAAATGCCTGTGGTCATTTCTATGTCATCAGGTCATAGGGAGCATTTCTGAGGTTGTGATGTAGAGCGATGGGCAGAGCACCCAGCCCATGCACAGCCCTCAGGGAACAGTCACGGTAGTAGGAACATAAATGGCATATTGACATTACTAGGGAAAGAGCTGCCTTCTTCCTGGTTCCATCCATTCCCTGGGCTCCATGGGGAAGTTTCTGCAGGTATGCTTATGGAAGACCTATTCCCAGATGGCCAAAGCAGCCACCTGGACCTCTTTCAGGGAGGATTAAGGACTGTAGGGCAGTGCAGAGAGGACAGCATTAGCCCCCAGAATGGGTTCCCTGTGACCCTTACTTCAATGCTGAGAGCCAGGCCTCAGCCTCCCTCTGAAGCCCCCATCTTCTTCACAGTGCCTGCTCTCCTGCCTCAATAGCTTGCTGGCCAGCAGTGGGCTGGACTCAGCCTCCCTCTGAAGCCCCCATCTTCTTCACAGTGCCTGCTCTCCTGCCTCAATAGCTTGCTGGCCAGCAGTGGGCTGGACTATCCATGGTCTTACCCCTGATTCCTGGGACTAGCATCTCACTCCTGAGTCCTGGCCTGTGGGAGACTCTGCTCCCACTGGCCGAAAGCCCTGTGATCCTGCCTGCTGTCTTCATTTTCCCATAGTACCTGTCCCCAATTTCCCACACTACCTCCCACCCACTTGCCCTTTAAGCCACTTGGCATTATTTTCCATGTCACTTTGTCCTTCTCTCCAGGAAACCATTCTTCACTACTGCCTATGCATGTTCCCACAGTCCTGCTCTTTCCCATTACAGCACTTGTCACACCCCTCCATACTGTACTGTAAGGTCCTTGATGGCAGGAACAGTTCTTATTCTCCAGTGGATCCTCAGCACCAAGAACAGCACATGGAGCTTGTAGGTTTCTACAAATATATTTTGCCTGAATGAATGAATGAACAGGAAAGCTAGGAAGCCCAGGACCCCATACAGATTTTTTTTCCAATCCAGATCATTGTAGAAACCAGCTTCTACAAATGGCCCCAGCAATCCTCACCTCTGGATAGTAACATCTTGTATTTTTCCCTTCACCCTGTTCCAAGGTTGTTCTCTATGCCAACAGAGTACAACAGAAATTATGGTAATCACTGCTGAAATCAGGTTTAAAAAGCACCACAGCTTTCATCTTTATTGTTCTCTCTGAATTTTGGGGGCACTCTCTGGGGAAAACCAGCTGCTGTGGAAAGATCCATGTGGCAAGAAACTGAGGCTTCCAGCCAACAGCGTGTCAACTATCCTGTGGGTGAGCATGGACGTGGGTCCTCCGACCCCATCTGAGCTTTGAGGTGACTGCAGCCCCAGCCAACAGCTTGACTTCAACTTCACAAGAGACTCTGAGTCAGAACAACCCAGCTAAACCATATGTAGATTCCTGACAGCTATAGAATAATAAATGTCTGTTGTTTTAAACTAGATTTGGGGATAATTTGTTACACATCAATAGATAACTAATACAGTCACCTATTGATTGGATTGGCTGGGTACTGAGACCTGCCTTGTAACTTGTCACTGCAGAACTGCCAAGTGGTGGCACTATTATCAAACTGTGAGTTCAGCTACATTTGGCAAACTATTAACCCCAAAGGCATGTCAAATGCCAGTCTGAAGTCAGGGATATACAAGTTTGCTGCAGACACATGGGAGTGTTTGCCAGTGAATCACACGCAATGATCAGGCCTAACCAGTTTATTTTCAGATTGCTGAAAATAGAGCCGACAGTTACACCTTACCGACTACTCATTGTTCGCAGAGCCCATGCTAAGGAACCAAACAGGCATGATGGTGTTGCTGCCACAAAGCCGTCCTCAGGGGTGAGCTTCCCCCAACACCACACATGTCAAAGCAACCTTTGGTACAGATCAAGGTGGTCCCTGGAAACTCAGGAGGCAGAGAAATGAAGGGGCACTGTCTCTGTCCCAAAGACCCCTCCCACAGGAGCAGCTACCACTACTAAATCAAATGTAGATCGACAGTTGCTTTTAGGGTTCTAAAATGTCCCTCTGTCCCTACTTCCAGGTTTAAAAGGGAGAGATAGTGATAGGACAGTAAGGGTTAAAGTTTGGTAAGGTTAAGGGGAGAAGTGTGTTCAGAGAGGAGCCTCCTGGCTTGCACTACTGCCATGTGGAAGAAATCCAAAACCATTCAAGCAGTGAGCAGACAGGGAGTTTGGGGGAACCAACAATTCAGAGATCACAGTGCTTGGTTTGGTTCAGTTATCCAGACTGTAAAATGGGAATGAGAAAGTTCCCTTGAGCAGGATTTGGGACAACATGGCAGCAAAAATTTGGGACACAGAGAAAGAAAATGCTTGAGTGTGGGAGATAGAGCACCCTCAAGGAATGGGGTCAGAATAACAGTCTTCATTTTGTGGGACGCCTACCATGTGTCAGACACTGTGCTGAGCATGCCTCATCCATTATCTTATTTAATTCTTGAGTTTATTCTTTAAGTGGTGGGGAGCCAGTGAAGAGGACAGCCCAAGAGCAAAATGATTAAGCTTGGGTTTCAGATTGTCTAGCTGGTGAATGAGTTGGAGGGAGGCTAGACAGAGGGCAAGAAGTAAATTTTGAGGAATTATCAGATATTCAGGAAGGAAACAATGAGACTAGACCAAGGTAACATGAGAGGAGAGCCAAGAGACCCAGGGTTCCCCAGAGTGGGCAAGCGAGGCAAGCAGCTCCCCTGTGGAGCGGCCACTGTATAGCTCTGGGATTGGCTACCAAGCCTTCTTCATTAGGCTGTTGCTAAAAGGACATCCTGACCACAAATGGCTTAGGAACTGTCTGTCTGAGGCCCCTGGGAGCCTTCTCCTTTTCCCATGTGTCTTTTTCTAGTTTCTGTGCTGTCCTCAGATCCACTGCATTGATTGACTCTGCAAATATATCCTACTGTACACATGAACAGCTGTGCGTGTGCATGTGCCCCTGCCAACCTCCCGCCCCTGCCCAGGGAAAGGGAGCATGAGCCTGGCGTGGTGCTGGGTGATTCCACATGCCACCCAGTCTTCTCAGTAGCTGCCTACAATGTGGTATCATCCCCGTTTAACAGATCAGAACTCCAGGGCTCTGGAACCACCTGACTCAAACCATAAACAGGGTTTCAATGCCCCAAGTTTTGCAAGCCAACCTTGCCTATATCTCTGTGAGGCCAGCTAACTCCTGTAATTTAATGATTAACTCCGGCACCCCTCATTGTCAGCTCACCTCATTGCCAGAAAGGTGGTACATCCTGGCTTCCTGGAGCAGCGGGAATACCTCTGGGCACCGCCTGATAAGAGGATCTGCTTCCACCGTCTCCACAAAGTACCACTGGTCCAGAAGTGGCAAGCGCACGTTCTCCAGGACATAGGCGAGCAAACAGAGCCGCTCCGACTGTTTGTGCCGGACCCAGCTCATCACAGTCTCAAACACCTGAGCCTCCTCTGTCACATACAGGTCATCACTCTTCAAGATGTGGTACAAAGTGTCCACAGGAAGGTCAAGGAACTCCTCAGAGTTCAGAATCTGCACAAAGTTTTGGATAATGTAACTCTGAACCTGCTTCTTTAGGCTGTCCAAGGAGTGTGTGTCTGCCAGCCTCAGAATTCCAACACAGTTTTCTGGATTCAAGGCTTCTGTTAGGAAGCTGGCACAGGCATCCACCATCCGCAGGAACTAAGAGAACAGAAGAGTAGCAAATCAGGCCAGAAAATCATCAGTCCATAAGGGGGCTGATCAGTTAGGTATGTGTAGGAACAAAAAAATTAGAACAATCTAAATGACAGGTGTAGGGGACTAGCTAAATAAATGATAGTGCGCTCATGTTTCAACCCCTCTGTAGTCATTAAGAACACATGTTGCAGATAAATATCCAATGACATGGAAAACATTCACAATGTACTGAGCCTAAAATCTGTTCACTAACTCTGATCAAGCCTCTAAATTTAATCAACCATTTACAGGAAATGGAGGGGAAGAGGAACATGCTGAATGATGCCATGGGAATACAATCAGCAAAACCCAGACTGTGAGAAACTACAGAACAACCAGTTCTGTTTCTTCAACAAAAACATCACGAGGAAAAAAGAGAGAAGAGGAGGGAGAGCCTAAAGATGAGAAGAGACATAGGAGAAACATAATCTATTGCAAGGTGTGGACCTCATTTGGATCCCTTATTTAAATGAAATAATTTTCAAAACCAGAGAAATGTTTACAATGACTGATAATCTGGTGATATGAAGCAATTATTATTCATTTTAAGTGTGATAATGGTGTGGTTATGTTTAAAGAAGAATCTTTGTCTTTTAGTGATATACACTAAAATACTTGCAGATGAAATGAGAAAAGTTCTTTGCAAAGTCATATGTCATTATGATCCTTGTTTTATTAAAAAGAAATAGAAAACAGGCATCGAAAAAAGGCTGAAGGATATACACCAAAATATGAACAGTAGTTATTTCTCAGTGTCTCTTAGGACAAATTATGTGGCAGTAACAAACAACCTCCAAATCTCAGGGGCTAAGAAGAATAGATGTTTATTTCTCACCCTCATTATGTGTCCTTCACAAGGTTCTTCATTCTAAGACCCAGAATGACAGAAAAGCCCTTAACTAAGATGTGCCAGTCTTGTGACAGAAGGAGAAAAAAGATGGCACAAAATCTCTTAAAACTTTTGCTCAGAAGTCACACATGCCATTTACACTCATTGTCAAGGGAACAACACGCCTCCCACAGAAACAGGTCCCATTAGGATAGACAAGGTATCTACTATATAAATAATACAAGGAACCACACTAATAAGTTATGAGGATTTTTTCTTATTTTGTTTATTTACATACTTTTTAAATCATCTAAAGTAAATAAGCACTTTTGCAATTACAGAATTAATTCATAAAATTCTTGATTGGCTTCCATGTCTTTTAAATTATCATCATCTTCAAAAGAATATAGATCCCATATGCTTATATAGCACTTCACAGCTTACAAAGCACTGCTGTACCCATTATATAATTTAATACCCACTTTACAGAGGAGTTGCCTCAAGTGCATCCATTCATTCTTATTCGTTGATTCATTCTCTCTCGAGCTTAGCTTTAATGAGTCCAACCTCCTATCTCCCCTTCTTGTCCACAGAGCCCCTTAAAGGGTCAAGTTCCCAGTGTCCTTGGGTTGATCAGTTAATAGAAAGAAGGAAAGAGGCAGGCCACTGGGGAGGGAAGGCCTGTTGGGGAGGGCCAGGGCCTGGTGGAGCATGGATGGGACAGACCTGACCAGGGAAGGGTACAGCCTGCAGAGGGGAGGCTCTAGTGGCAGGAGCTATGGATGCAGGGCCATGGGGCCCAAAAAGGGTGGGGGGTACAGAACTTTCTTATATTGAACCATATTGACTTACGCTGTGGCCTTCATTCCAGAGCATTCTATGGGGCACACAGCCCTGATACTTTGGGTAAATTCCAATTGTAAAATATTATCTTTCCATGTCAGTGTAGAAAACATTGGCTAAGGGTCCATACAATGTTGGAGAAAGCCTGAATTCTGCCTCAGACTGCCCTGTCTGCTGGCCCCAACCATTGCCAATACATCTTGCTCTTCGCATGAGCAACTATGGAAACAGTTGAGACGGAGAATTCTAACACCTGTTTAGTTGTTCGCAGATTTTCAGTTCAAAGAGTAAAAATATACAACTGAGACCAAGCCTGGTTGAGCCCTCAGAATCTGTCACCAGAGCCTTATGTGGCCCTATCCACAGAGACATGTATGAGGGCTAAAAGAGAGTTCACTTTCATGGTAGATGCCAGTGCAAATGAGCAAGTACGTCATGCCAGCATTAGCGTGAGAAGATGATATGAAAGTTAAATATATTTAAATATGTAAACTACTTCTGGGAGGCAAAAACCTGAGAACAGTGGTTGCCTATGGAGATGGGAGCTAGTGGCTGGGGTCAGGGTAGAGAGAATTACCTTTCACAGTTTACCTGTTTGTACCCCTTAGATGTGAAGCAATCATCTATTTAAAATAAAGTTTCTCGTGAATACAGAAAACACTAGAAGGGTACACATCAAAATGCTAATAGTGGTTATCTCAATTGCTGTTGTACAGATAAAGTAATTGTTTTATAGATGTTGCTGTTAAGACCAAGTTTTCTGCACTGACCATGAATTTGCTTTTAAATTCTGAAAAATTAAAATAAATACCTCCTTGCAATATTCAAGTTAACAATGAGAAAACACAATAAAATGTAAAATGAAAATGAAAAGCACCTACAAGGTGCCAGCCCCTTTATATTAACCAGCTTATTTAATCCTCATAACATAATAAAGTAGATATTTACTATCATTCCTGTTTTACAGAATGAGGAAGAGATTCAGAAAGTGAGATAATTTTCTCAGAGACTTATAACTAATAAGAGACAGAGCTAAAATTTGAACCAGTCTTATCTGACTCCAAAAATGCATATTTGTACACCATTTCAAGCTACTTCAGGTGAAATCATGTGTGCATAGGACAAGGGCTTGCCAGATGCCAGCCATGATTTGTACACTTCACAGGAGAGCTCAGATAATCTAATCTTCCCAGACCCAGGACAGCCTGGCCAACAAGATGCCAGTCCCTACCCCTGCCTACTTATTGATGAGCAAAGAAGAAACCATGAAGGAGAATTAAATCAAGCATGACACTCATGTTTGTTAGAAACATTGATTCAAACATGTGTCTCCCCACTCAGAAACTGTTCATTCCCCCATTCATCCACCAGTTCATTTCCCAAACACATATGGAGCATCTGTAATGTAAGCCCTCAACTACAGAGGTAAGCAGCAAGAGACATAGCACCTGTGTTCCCTGGTGCTGACAGGTCAGTGGGGCAGGCAGATGGTAATCAAATAGTCACACAAGTGTGAAATTCAACTGTGAGAAATGCTGTGTAACAAAGCCCCACGGTTCTCCTGCCTGGAACTGAAGAAGGTCTTGCTGCTCCCCCTCAGGCTGTGCACGGTCTGTCTGAACACCACCACCAGGCCCCTCCCCGACAGAGCCCCTCCACATCAGCCCTGTCTGCTTGCCCTCCACCAACATTCCTAGCCTTGTCCCTCACAGGGCCTCTCCATACTCAGGTCATTTTCTCAGCCTGCCCTAGCTTTCTCCCACCACTGTTAAAACTCTGCTCTCCTCACCCAGGGAAATTTGACTCCACAGTCTGCTTTTTAAGAAAGGCCTCAGGAGAGCCCCCTGTGTCTCAGCTGAGAAGCCCCCTTTAAGGGCACCTCAGAAAGCAGGAAGAGGTGAGTGCCATGGCCACCTTATCTACACGGGGCTGTTCTCTCCTTTAGTAACTGTTCAGTCTGGGACCGCTGGGTGGGCTCCCGAGAGTCTGCAAACCCCTGAAACGGTATGCAAACATTTGTTTGCACACGTGACATTTTTCTGCAGGTTGAGTTTGAAGGAGACACTGTGAGGGAGAGGCCAGAGAGCCTTAATCAGACTGTGCTTCAGGCCTTCCCTGCCTCTGGACATTTTTAATTCTGGTTTAAGAAGAAAGGAGGAGAATGGAAGAAAAGGGAAGGGAAAAAAGGTAGCAAAATCCAGCTGTTCATGAAGTTCTTTCTCAGAAGTCACTTCTTCCTTCATGGCTTTCCAACTGCCCAACCTGCAATCAAGGCGGGATTCTAGGCTGTGCTTGTGTTTGTATTTTGAGCAGCGCCTGGCACAAACTGGCTGAAGGAGGGAGAAAAGGGAAGGAAAGAAAGAGAAGAAAAATATTTTTGAGATACCCATTATGTACCAAGATCTGTACCAGATACTTTCCCATTCATTATTTCACTTAAAGAATAAATTTCATTTTTTAAAAATGTTTCTTTAACAATTAACAATAAGGTAATTGCAGAGGAAGAAACAGAGAATTCCCGGAGTTCAGTGTGTTGGTCAAGTTCACATGGCAAGTAGGTGGTGGAGTGACAGTGAGGCGATGTTGAGCTAGCTCTCCACACGGCATCACACTGCCATGGTGACTTTGTACTGCTGAGCTAACAAAATTCCAGGAGAGTATGAGGAGGCTTTCTGAGGGCAAGGGCGTGCGTGATCTCCAAGTTGCCTACCTTTCCCCGGAAAAGACGTTCAGTGAACACTTTTGTTGTGAGGGGGTGTAGGGCAGCATCACGTGATCCCAACCATTGGCTGGGAAACTGCTGATGTGCAAGGCAGTCACAGAGACGATTTTTTTCTTTAAAAAACTGTTCTTTCTTCCTTCATATTCAAGATTATTTAGGACTTTACAGTACATTTTCTGCCTCAGCCTGTCCAATGACACATGAACTTGTTTATAAAAGCTGAGCCATAACAGATAATGGCAACAGAGAACCAACTTCCTGTTTGTGGGGACATGTGAGCAAAAGGGTAAGGCCAGGCACCTGACTCTTGAACAGACTAAAAATATAAATAAAGAAACCACTTGAAACATGGCTTCAGTTTCCATGAAAAGTGTCTGCCTCAACAAGAATGTAGCCCCTGTTTCCCATCTCCCCTGCCCCTCTGCTGCTCCCCTTTATGCTGTCCAGAACCTGGGGTCCCAAGGGACTTTACTAATGTGAATCCACACCTCCCTAGAGGTCCCCTCAGATCCACTCCGGAATAACACAGATCCTGTTTTGGTCCAAATCAGCAATTCCATTGACCATGGT